CACACACACACACACACACACACACACACACACTGCTGCCCCCTCTACTCTGGCTCTCTTTCTGGATGTTCTTGAACATCATCCTGGGGGGATTCCTGGAATCCCCCCCCCCGCCCCTGCCCCCAGAGTGGGAAGGCAGCCCAGTAAAGCCTGGAAAGGCAGAAGGACCTCACACCAGGAGAATTCTGGTGCCCAAGATGGCTGGGCCACTTCTCCCTCTTCAGGCCAGGTGCTATGTGCCAATCAGGGGTTCCTGGGAAAGGGAATGCACAGATCCTAGCCTGAAAATCCATAATGATCTGGCGAAGGGCCCTTTTCACTCTGTCTTTAAAAGAGCACTGGGAACCCTTTGCATGCCAGGCCTATTCTGGGCAGTAGGGACACCAAGGTGAGGTCCAAGGGGGTCCTGCTCTCAGGAAACTGGCTTTTTAGAAAGAGGTGACAGACAATAATCAGACAAGAAAAATCAGGTCAGGAATAGGGTGATGCACCTGACTAGGCCACTCTCACACTCTGGGGTAGGAGTCTCAAAATATGGTAAAGTGACAATGACAGGTGATTGCCTTAGAGGGGGTGGCCAAGGCAGGCCTCTCTAAGGAAAAGCATTTCATCTGAGATCTGAATGGCAAAGACCCAGGTGTGTGAAAACGGGTGGAGGGGAGAAAGAATGCGAGGTTAAGGGAATAGTACTCACAAAGCCCCAGAGATGGAATGAATTTAGTTTCTGGGTTTTCTGGATGTCCAGGCATTAGGGATTAGGTTGGCCTGCCAACTTTTATGTGGGAATTCGCCTACAGTTTGATTCAATGGAACAGGCAGGCCCCTGCCTGACCCCCAACCTAGGGCTCAGCCCTCCAAGACCACACAGTCCCTCAACAGTCTGCTCAGCTTATCTGAGTGGGTTCCTTTGGGACAGCAGAGCCCTGACCTTGAAGGGGCCGGCCCCTGTGTGAGACTGTGGTGTGGAGAGAGCAATCAAGACACCGATGCCTGGGCCTGGTGTGCCCCTGTTGCTCATCCCATGGAATCTCACTTGAAGACAGGCCCAGTGGCTTCGAGCGTGACTTCTCAATATTCTCGCCTGCAAAGTAGCTTCGATGATTGTGAAGATTAAACGAATTAAGACATGCAAATGGCTTAAAGCTATGCCTGGTATCTGGAACTCAAAGACGTTCACTTTTGGTAGTATTGTAATAATTTTTGTTTATCTTCTTTCTCACCTGGGGAGGGGGGAGTCCCTGCCTTGTTCATCTTGGTATCCAGTGCTCACCGGAAGTGCCTACAAGGCACTCCATAAATATCAAAATAAATGTGTAGATGAATGAAATAATGGAAGAAACCTGCTGATTCATCTGACTGTTATTTTATTATGATTTTCTGAGTCAGGGTCCCACTCTGTTGCCCAGGCTGAAGTGCAGTGGCACGATCACAGCTCATGGCAGCCTCAACCTCCCAGGCTCAAATGATCCCGCCTCAGCCTCCCAGGCAGCTGGGCCTACAGGTGCACACCCCCAGACAGGTCTTTTTTCTTTTTTTGTAGCAACACATTCTCACTATGTTACCTAGGCTGGTCTTGAAATCCTGGGCTCAAGCAGTCCCTCCTGCCTCAGCCTCCTAAAGTGCTGAGATTACGGGCGTGAGACACGGCGCCCAGGCTGCCCACATTTTAGGAAGCACTTCCGGCATGCCAGGTTCGGTTCAGGGTGCTGAGACCGGAGATGAGCAAGGCAGAATTTGTCCCTGGGCTCCCGGAACTTCTTTTTCAAGACGGAGGACAATACACGTAGAAGCAGATAAGTTCGTTTCAGAGGGAGAGATATCTCGGAGGGGAAAAAAAAGACAAGGTCAGTCCACGAGAAAAGGGTCGGCAAGGGTCGGCAGTTACTTCAGCTTGGGGGGTCGAGGAAGGCGTCTCTGCGGAGGTGACCCGAATGCCAGAGGGGCCCGTCCGGCTGGTGGGAGGTGACGGCCGGGAGGGAAGAGGGGGG